CAGAGCAATCTTGGAAGAAAACCTCTTGGAGTCTGCAAAAGACTTGAGACTGGGGCGGAGGTTCACCTTCCAGCAGGACAACGACCCTAAACATAAAGCCAGGGCAACAATGGAATGGTTTAAAACAAAACATATCCATGTGTTAGAATGACCCAGTCAAAGTCCAGATCTAAATCCAATCAAGACTCTGTGGTAAGATCTGAAAACTGCTGTTCACAAACGCTGTCCGTCTAATCTGACTGAGCTGGAGCTGCTTTGCAAAGAAGAATGGGCAAAGATTTCAGTCTGTAGATGTGCAAAGCTGGTAGAGACATACCCTAAAAGACTGGCAGCTGTAATTGCAGCAAAAGGTGGTTCTACAAAGACTCAGGGGGCTGAATAATTACGCACACCGACTTTGCAGTTATTTATTTGTGAAAAATGTTTGGAATCATGTATGATCTTCGTTCCACTTCTCACGTGTACACCACTTTGTGTTGGTCTTTCACGTGGAATTCCAATAAAATTGATTCATGTTTGTGGCTGTAATGTGACAAAATGTGGGAAAGTTCAAGGGGGCCGAATACTTTTGCGCTTTGTTGGATGGTGGAGGCTGTCATCTGGTGGTTAAATACTGGAGGTGATCAATCAATTATCTAATTATCAGAGACTCCACCCAACAACTCAGCAGACACGCCCAGGTATCCACCCCCTAAGAAAGAAAAGGGGAAAAAAAACCCACAGCTATCCTCTGGTGGGAGGAGTCACACATAAAACAAACACTGACAACATTGGATCATAACACAGTTAAAAGTTGAAATGTAAATGGTTGTTTTTTTATTATACAATTGATTTGTTTACATTTTATGTGGAGTGAATAAATAAAAGCATATTTATATATAAACATATAAATAAAAACATGTTGTTGTTGTTTTACATTAGTAATTCATTTTGTGCATAATTTTATATTACTGTTGATAATAAATTAATTAAACCAACAACTTGAAGAGCTGGTTGGGAGCCGGAATTCCCATCACTAGAGAAAGTGAACTCCCGGCACACCGTTTTCAGACCCCCCGCGGTCTTTGGCTACTCAGGTTAAACATGATATATAAGTCACTCAGATAACTTAAAAATGTTATTGTTTGTTTTTTTCACTGTTTTATTTGTTCCTGAGTAAATCGGTTTGGCTGAAATTAAAATTCTAGTTTTCGCACAGCTGAATAAACGTCAAACAGAAAACTGATTAAACAGAAGTGTGAGATGATCGAGAGTTTGCTCCAGTGTCCTGTTATATTTTAGATAGCGAGGAGCAGACGGCTGAGTGTATTAAACCCCACCGAGACAGCGGTGACGCAAATCTGACGGCCAATTTCACAGCCACTCACTTCAGGCCTTTGGAGGACACGGCCCACGTAGACTACGAAGGACAGGTCCTCCAAAGGATGCAGCCTAGGAATTGGGACACAGCTATAGTCAGTCTCTGCTTGATTAAGGTGAAGGAGGAGAGGTAAGCTGTGTTACCGATTCCATGTGCGTTTGTTAAGTTTCACAAATAATGGAGGTCACTGTAAGTAAATTGCCCGTCTCTGGGAACCCAAAATGTCTGCTTACCTTACCCCCTTCCTTGATGCTCGAGTCAGACTGCTTCCCACAGTAATACTATAACACAGAGTACAGCACAGTTGTAATAATCAGAATACTTTAATGATCCCTGAGGAAAGTATGTGGTGTCAGTTGTACAAAGTCAATAAGAACAGTAACAGACCAAACTAAATAATAATACACTATAATGCAAAGTTTACAAAATAAGAACTAGCTCTAATATATAAAAATAACTCAATTATAAATATCTAGAATAATACGTGATATATACGATTCACATTTTACTTTAAAATGTAAAACTTTGTTATTTACTGCAGAGCGTGTGCAAAGAGTATAACTACTGCACTGTGTGCTGATGGAGCTGTACAGAGATGGCCTCCATTCCCACAACATTACTGGCCTTGTGACCAGTTTATTTACCCTCAACCTGCTGTCCCAGCATGCAACAGCACAGAGGATAGCACTGACCACAGCAGGCTGATAGAAAAATCCTGAACATTGTCTGACAGATGTTGAAGGACCTCAGAGACTCTGGCCGTTCCTGTAGAGTGCAGTGGCGTTTTTAACCCAGTCCAGCCTATTATCAGTGTGTCCTCTGAGGTATTTATGCTCCTCCACAATGTCCACATTGACCACCTGGATTGAAACGGGGGTCACGAGTTTCCTGGTCTTCCTAAAGTCCACAATCAGTTCTTTGGTCTTTGCCACGTTGAGCTGCAGATGATCCTGCTCGCATCACATGACAAAGGAGTCATCAGAAATTTTCTGAAGGTGGCAGGTCTCTGTGCATGTAATACTGTACGGAAATAGTGTAAAGTACAGTAGTACACAGTAATGCAGTATTACTTTACAGGGTCGTATTATCTTCCCGTGCTTCTAGGCTGAGGGTGGGATCAGCTGTGGGTGGAGGCGGAGTCCCACCCTTGGAGCAGCTGTGTTTCAGCCCCTCAGTTTCAGACTGACTCAGAGCTGCTCGCAAACATGAAGTCTTTCTGCCTCCTCTCTCTGATCCTCCCGGTCCTCTCAGTCCAGGACTCTGCCCCTTTGGGATGTGGATCTTGTGATCTGGCTCAGTGTGCTCCTCTCCCAGCGGAGGGCTGTGCTGCTGGCTCTCTGGTGGACTCCTGTGGCTGCTGCTCTGTCTGCGCTGCCGCAGAGGGTGAGCTGTGCGGAGGTCGCCGGTCGGCAGCTCGCCGCTGTGGCTCCGGTCTGGAGTGCGTGAGAAGCGGGAACAAGAAGAACAAGATGGGAGTCTGTGTCTGTAAGAGCAAATACGAGGTCTGCGGGACAAACGGAGTGACCTACACGAACACCTGTGCACTGAAAACTGCAGGCCTGCGAGCCCAGAGTGAGGGAAAAGAATCTGTCAACATGCAGAACAAAGGTCGCTGTGGTTCAGGTGAGGTCGCAGGTCATGGTATCAATCTATGTAGCCTACAGCCTGCAGAAGGGGGTCACTTATTCTGATATGTGGCTTGATACAGTTGGAGAAATAACCTGCAGCTGACGTACATATATACGTATGTATTTATACGTTGCTGTGATGTAAATGTAGAGCAGTTAAAAAAACCTAAACGTCTCTTTCCCCTTCTGTGGTCCAGCGGACTATGAGGCAGTCTGTCAGTTACAGACTGATGTCGCCTCTGATAATCCTCCTCCATCCCAAACATCACATTCCTTTCTACATGAAAAGACCCACTGAGTGTGCTCAGAGCAAACTGAATTCCTGTGAGGTCACTGAGGACTTCCTGTCTGGACCTGTTTCACCCACATTCATCTTTTCTTTCTGTCTGCAGCTCCACTCATTGTTACTCCTCCAGGTGAGGTGTACAACGTGAGTGGCTCTCAGGTGTACCTGAGTTGTGAGGTGGTGGGCGTGCCCACACCAGTGCTAACCTGGAAGAAGGTGAGTTTGTGTGCCATCATTCAGCAGCTTGTCACACATTTAAGATGTATTTTGTTTTTCTCCATAAAAAGAAACACTCAAAGGTTCAGGCGTGACTCCACAGAAGTGTTTGCCTTCCTCTTTGCTGCTGACTTCCTGTTTCCTGCCGCTGCCAATAGAAACAATCAAAGTTCTCCACCTGGAAACATAAAACAGGAAATTATCCTGATTTAAACATTTCCCTGAACAGCAGCTTACATCACTACTTAACAACAATAGTCACCTTGAGGTACTTTAACATGCAAGGAACAGAGGGACGCCAAGCAAAAATTAAATTATATCAACAGTCTTTGACTTGAAGAAATTGCTTAACACTTAAACCTATGTTCCGCATATTCCAGCATATAAAATAAAATCATATTTTGTGTTTACACTCTTTGAAATAGATGCAAGTAAAATGGCAGAAAATAAATAGAATCAAAGACTCAGCAGCTCCTAAATCTATTGTCAGCTGTTTATCAGGAGTGGGGCGGGTGGAGGTTTGCCCACAGCAGTCATGTCAGTGAGGGGATCCGGGGGTTTCTCTGTGAATGTCACATTCCCGTGGCAGCGTGCTTGCTCAGAAGTTTAGGGTTTTTTTCAACTGTAGAAAGAAGTTTTCTTCCCACGCAGAGTGAACAGCAGACACTAATGTTTTTGTCACTTTTTATGAAAAAATGTTTACGCTTTAAACACTGCATGGTCGTACTCTCTCCGTACGCACTCCATATTATCCATTGTTGATCGCCACACGTCTGTTACCACACGCTTACATCATTGTCATGAGACACTCTCACAAACAAAATCACAGGTTAGTACCACAGCAATGCAGCATGCTTAGGGGAAAGCAACAGTAATCTAATTACTTTTTTGCAATAGTAATCCCTTGCTTTACGCGTTACTTGCGAAAAGTAATCAGATTGCAGTAATGCATTACTGAAAATCTCTGGTGAGGATGTAACAGTATTAAAAGACAACCAACCTCTGTGGGAGTGGATGATATGCTTCTTCAATAACATGATCAAATCAAATCAAATCAAATCACTTTTATTGTCACATCACATGTGCAGGCACACTGGCACAGCACATGCGAGTGAAATTCTTGTG